ATTCCAGTGAAATATAAGAGACAAGGAGAAGGGCAGGAAAATGAGTCTTAAACCCTTAGAGACTGTTTGGCAACCTTTTTATGCTTAGTTGCAGTATTAGGCTTGATGTTTCTGAGAACTAATAGCATCACCAATCCCATCAGACATAGGAGAAGATAAGAGGCTGCTAGATTATATGCTATTCCTTGGATATGCCGAAAATCCGTGGTGATACAGACTTATAATCTAAGCCCATAGACAAAGAAATCACTGTAGCCAGCTACTTCCCTTATTTGTGGGTTGTTGAAATAGTTTTAATTTTGCTGAGAGTCGAAGTAAGCTTTTCTTCATTAAAAAAAAAAAGTGCCATAGCCAAAGAGAGCTACTAGAGTGAAGCAAAATTCTCATGGCCTGGAGTGGTCATGATGGATTTAGCCAGTGTGGTGGCCATTTGACCCCGTTCTCTGCAAAGAGACATCATTGGAAGTCTGCTGATGGCTTCTGGAAAGACTTTTCTAACATAGAGGTATACTAAGGAGAAAGCCCATTTCCCCTCCTACTTGTCTTTGATTTTTTTCATTTAAGGATGGGATATACCAAGCTACCACATCAACATTGCCACCATGACAGGAGGCAATGCTATCACACTGAAGACTTCAAAATGGAACACAGAAAATGCCTGTGTTCTTGGTAACTTTATTGCACCACTGAGCAACCTGAAACCACATACCTGCAGAGTTCTTAAGTGATATCAAACTGCCCTGTGATTTCTGCCTCTTTCAGTTTCATCTCCATGATACACTGGATAAAGAGGAATCACTTGAAGCCAACGCATTATACAAGAGGGAAAGAAACATGTGTGAACCAAGAGGAGACGACTGATTCCAGAACTTCTGTCTGTTGGGTTGCACATGCTTCAAAGGAATTTAGAAACAAAGCAAACAGCACATATCTGTTGAGCACCTACTATGGGCCAGACACTGTGCTGGGTGTTGGGGTTACAAGAGTGGGCAAGGTGGGCAAGGTCACTGAGGTCATGGAAGTCATATTCCAGAAGACAGATGATAAACAAACAAATAAGGATAGTTGAAAACATTCTGAAGCAACTTTCTAAATATTGATTCCAATCAGTCCTGAGTGTAAACCCAGACATCATCATCACCATCATCATTGTCATTGTCCTCATCATTTGTGCCAGGCTCTGTAGGTGTCAAATGATAAACAAGATATAGACCCTGCATTCAAGAAATCTGGGAGGCAAGAATACAGATTTGGCCATAGAACAGTCAAAAGTTAGGCAATGAATTAGGCAACAAAAGAATTCTTCTGGTAACCAAGGTTGGGATAGGCCAGGCCCCCTGTCTCTACTATTCTCCCACACATGTTTTATAACCATTCCCCCCCTTTCCCAAGAGAGAAAGAAATATTCTTAATGATTGCTGTTCTTCTTTCATATATAGCCGCTGTTCCTGAGAGAATCAAGCGGGCTTTTTCTTTGTCCAGTGAAGTGAAGAATATAGGCTTTGTAATCCGGGTGGAACTTACCAGTCTGCGCTACGTACCAGCAAATACTCACAGATACTCCCATAAATGATCTCACCAAACCCTGTCTCTCTTCCTTCATCCTCTCAAAATCATACCCACCTAATGTGTTTAGCAATGCTGCAATTGACTATTAACTGCCATATCTAGCTATAAAAAACAGATAAACATCAGCTAACTGGGTCCCCACACCCACACACATACCCTCACCCTCAGAAACGTTTCCACTGACAATCACAGGAACCACGGAACACTTCTCACGTTTGGAGTGCATCTTCCCACAGCCTGGCTCACACACTGGCTTTTTATTTGAGCTTTCATGGGGAATGTTTCAACTCTTAGATAGGAATTTCATTAACAAAGGAAGGGGAGGGGAAGTCAGGAGGAAAGTACAGAGGCAGAAGAAAGAAACTAAAATCGTTTTTGAAGGGGACCTAAAATTGTATCATCCTAGCCTGGACCTCCCCTATAACTGTTCTTTATTTGTCCGTTCTGTGCCTGGAAAAAAAAAAACAACCCACACAGACATCCACCACAGCTTTTCATTGATTGGGCAACTGTCCAGGCGCTTAACTTGGCATCCAGCCCACAGAGCTGTGAAATCAACCTCACCAAGCCTAGGGTTTAAAGTACGGCAACATCTAGCTGGAAGCCCATTCAAAATAAGGAACTTGGTGCAACAGTCAGGGTCCTTTGTTTCTTCCTTCCTCTCTCAGCTGCATCTCTCATGTAATCTTGGTGAAGAGTCTTGCCTGGCAAAGAAAGAGATCAGGGACAAGGAGGTGGTGCCGAGAAAGTTCCACGAAACTCAGAAGTCACCACCTGCCTATCAGACTCGAAGAACCAGGAGAGATGTAACCTGGGCATACTTTCAGCTCTTCCCCTGCTGCCCACACTGCAGGTTTTTCAGGTCCTTGCTTGAGCGTGCACTCACAGGCGTAAAAAAACGTGCTATCAACAACGCGCGTCAGCCAACCCAGCTATTTAAGTGGGCTGGCATCAGCAGACTCGGCTTCCAAATCCAGAGCCTGCCTTTGCCACTTCCACGTAAGTAACTTTCAGAGGTTTGCCTTTATTGCAGAAGAATGAAATCGTGTAGACACTGGCCTGCAGTGCTGTAGTTGCCGTATGTGCTAGTCTGCTGGGGAAAAGGCAGGGCTGAAGGGCAGAATAAAAGTGAAGAGCTGCTCCCGAGCAGGGAGCCAGACAGCCCGGCCGGGTGGAAGGTAGCAGACCCTTGCAGACATGCAAGGGGTTAGGGGAACTGGAGGCAAGGTGGAGCCCATTTTGGCCTTTTGGCCAGCAGGTGAGATGTCTTTCTTGCTCTCTCCTCTCTCTGGAAGACACTTTGAAACCCGTGTTTGTGTGACTGTGCCAGATGCGTATGAATCTATCATTTAGAAGCTGATGTTGCTATTACTCATCTCGGTCTCAAATCAGACATTGTATTATTTTTTTTAAATATTTTTTTGTGTTTGGTAGAAGGGAGTAAGAGGAGGTATCTCTGGATGAAGCAGAGGCGGCTCAGTGGAGGATCTGTAGTGCTATTTCTTGTTATGTCTGGTTCTTCTAATACTTATTTACAACAATGCAAACATTGATCTTGTTTAAGATAAAAAGGAATCTCATGCTCTGGCGTTTTGAGGCAATGGAACACAGTGGTATCCAGGTATTTAGGTGAAGTGTTAGGTATGGTGGGATAGGAAACGTTGAATAAAGAGGCACAGCCCTCCACATAACTTAGGTGAGAAGGTCTTGAAGAGGAGAGGAATGTGAAAAGTTCCCAGGGGACAGGGCAGCACTGCCAACTCCACAGGCCTTTTAGTGGAGCAGGGAGAGAACAACATAAAGGTACTGAGAAGAGGGGGAGGGAGGAGGAGAGGGAGCAGACAGTAGAGGAGTTACAATTGGGCATCATATTAATAAAATACATGTAGGATATAATAGGAATAAAGCATGACATAAATTCCATAGTTCCTCCTTTGGGGTCAAGAACCTGGTTTTTAAGAATCTGGCGAAAGCCAAGGATCTTTCCCAGGTAGTTCGCCCTGCCCCCAACATATACCTTGACACTCATTTTCTGGAGCCCTAGAACTCCACGGACCCCCAATGGATGCATTTAAGCTAACGTATTATTTTTAACTGAGCTAAAACTGCTGGCTAGGAACCTGCAGAGAAGGAGTGGGGAGTTGGCCACCCAGCTGAAGCTCACTTGTAAGTAAGGTCTGTTTCCCATCAAGCCAGGGATGAGAAGCAGAACCAGTGAAACCCCAACCTCTCCCTTGACACATGAGGCTAGGGAAGCCCAGAGAGAGGGTGGGTCTGCCCCTGACCATACAACCACCATGTCCCATGGCCCAGGGAAGACAGCAGCAGGATCTCAGAGGAAGAGGAACCCCTGAGACCACACTACTGGGTCCTCCAAACCACACTTGCGGCTCTAGCTAAGACAAGGTATCTGGTGCATTTCAAGCAAATTCTCGGAACCCAGACACACTCGGGGCAGCCAGCGGGAAGAATTACTCAGAACCTCAAAAGTGCATTATTGACGGATTGTGCTAATACGTGAGAAGGGATGTTTCAAAACGAAGGCTTCCTTTTGTTCCCTCCAAAAATATCTGGGATAAGCCAGAGGATTATATGCCTTGGGAGAGTGGCAGCCGACACACCAGGCTCTCTGTTGAGATGCCGGGTGCGGCCAAGTTGTTCTTGCAGGATTGAGCTCGAGTTCTCAGCCCTGGAATGAGTCGATTTGGCACCGCGGGGGCTTTTCATTATGAGTTCTAGGTCGGTCCTGGGCACCCACATGACAGGGTGACGTTTGTCTCTGTGGCTACTGCTGTTCTCGTCTGCCCCTCACCATGGCCCCTGTGTGGGGGCAGGGGTGCCCACGGGACCACCCACCTCCCCTGCTCTGCCTGTGCCGGCTCCACGTGTTAGGTGGTTTCTCAGCTCCCTTCCAGTCTAAACGCATCTGATTTCCAGGGTCTCATCCCCTCGGGGCTTTGCTTCTCTGTCTCTGGAAAACTTATTAAAGTTATGATGTTAATAGACAATAATTGTTTAATGAGTTATGTCCCAGGATATTAAATAGGTTCCAGCAAGATAACGTATCTGGGAATTCTTTGAAATGTTATCTAAATAGGAATTACCATTTGGGGCAATCAGGAGGATCAAAGTTTTAGGCCAAATGTATAATCCCAACTGGTAAAAATTCCAAGCAACTTGCTGGGGGAAAATATACCAGGATTGGGGGTTTGGAGTAGAATTCCTCAAATCCCATCCCTCAGGGAATTCCCTATGGACTGTGGGGCCTGACAGAATGCTTTGTCTGAATTGGTCTATTTTGTGTTAAATGCATTCGTACTTATTGGAGACCGCTGCATTTATCTTTGTGAAAAACGGAGCGCCACCTTAAGAACACTACAGTGGAGATAAAACGTCAAGAAATTCTGCTCACAGGGCTTTAGAGAAATTACCTGGTTCCCCCTCCTGTGTGGACGCTGCACTGGCAGGGCAGCCGGCCTAGCCTCCGTGACAAGGAGCCTCCTTCCTCGGGGACCCAGGCCTGCAGGCGGGGACAAGGGGCCCCCTCAGTTCCTGGGACTCCGGGCCTTTGACAGCCCTGTCTTCGGGCGGAAGGCTGAGATCGCTGCAGCGGTCGTTGGCAAGTGGCAGTTGCGTGTGGGCGTCCTGCCTGTGAAGAGGGGTGTGGCCAGGTGTGTGATTAACCCCACCCCCACCCCCACTAGGGAAGCAGAGTCTGCAGGCGGCGGGAGCCCAGAGCAGCTGGGCAGCCCGAGGGCACAGTCTTCCCTGGTGAGCATAGCATTGAGGAGAGGAGGGAGAAGGTAAGCACCGTCCTGGCTCCGACGGGGCCCTTAAGTCCCCCAAGTTCCGAGGAAAGGATTAGGCTATTGGCATCAGGCGGCCAGCCCACACTGGTTTAAAGCTGCTGTCGGCAAGCCTGATGTTTCTTCCTCTGGCCATTCAGAGCGTCACCACAAATAATTTTTTGAAAAATGAGTGGCATGATTGCACAGCTGATAAAATAGATTTGTAGAACAGTGACAGAATTTCTGACTTCTTTGGATGGCTTTTCTTTGAACATGTGCCCGGCCCGTTTGTTTTCTTTCTTTTTTTTTTTTTTTAAATTTTTTTTTTTTTTGACTGAGAGGGGTGGGGAGGGAGAGAACACAAGCAGGGGGAGTGGGAGAGGGAGAAGCAGGCCTCCCGCTGAGCAGGGAGCCCGATGCGGGGCTCCATCCCAGGACCCCGGGATCATGGCCTGAGCTGAAGGCAGAGCTTAACTGACTGAGCTATTCAGGCGCCCCATGTTTTCAAATTCTCTTAGTATGGAATGGTTTAGTTCACTTGGATATTTTTTTAAGGCTGTGTCATGACCTAACCTAGATTAATTTTTAGATGTTGTCAATGGCTCCCTCAAACTTTTGAAAAGCCAAGTGAATGGGGATGGTCAACAGAACTATGCAAAGATGAAACTGTTGGCAGAAGGATGGTGTATGGCCCACAGTAATTTATAAAGTACTTACCTGCCCTTTTAAAAGCCAGCACCTGAGGATCCCAAGGCAGCCAGCCCCTGGACCACAGCCATCCTGTCTGCTCGCGCTTGGGCAGGCTGGTGGAGAACTGGCTTGAGGCTGTGAATATAGGGGATTCTCCTGATGCAGGGGGTGTGTGCACCTGCCCTCTTACTGGCCCTGGCTCCCTTGACCGCCCCACCTTTCAATGACTCCGATGTGGATTTGGCATTCCAGTGCTGTTGATTCTGAACACTGTGTGTGGATACGTGACCAAACAGGTACAGGTCCTGCTGTCCTTTCTATTTGCTGGGAAACTCCCTTCAGCGATCTTCAAGTGATATGTTAAACACTCTTCCACAGAATCCCAGTGTAGATAAGTCCCAGCAGACAGCAGTCTAGCCTAGGGAGCAGAATACGGGTCTAATGTTCAGGAACCTGGGTCCTGTTTTCAGTTCTCCTTCAGCTGTAATGGAATTTTAAAGCAGAGGAAGCCTGAAATATGAGTTGTCCCAGTGGATTATTGATAGCACCCCCTTTCATTTTAAAAAATACTTGGCCTGAGCTGTAAGCTACAAGGTTTATGAATACCATACAATACATAAAGGTTCAAGAGTAAAGTGAATTGTCTTGCATCTTAGGATTAGTTGGTGGCTGAGCTGGCTCTGGAACTGAGGCCTCCCCACGCTTTATTCCGGTCTCTCTGCCGAGTCACTCACTCCCTCTGTGACTCAGGTTCCCAGTGGGAAGCATTGTATCCGTATAGCCCAATTGGAGAGCTGGTATATTTATATTGGCTTGCCAAACGTGAATGCTAGGGGTTCAAGGAATTGTTCATCACAAGGTCAAATTACTCTATTTGCTTCAGGTTCTAATGTTAGCTTATGACCATGTTTGGATAATGATAGAAGCTCTTTTAAAAGTAGAGAAGTGGGGTGCCTTTGTGGCTCAGTTGGTTGGGCATCTACCGTTGGCTCAGGTCATGATCCCCCAGTCCTGGGATTGAGCCCCACATTGGGCTCCCTGGTTGGTGGGGAGTCTGCTTCTCCCTCTGCCCTCACCCAACTCATGCTCTCTCTCTCACTCAGGTGAATAAATAAAATCTTTAAAAAAAAAAAGTAGAGAAGTTAATTTTTACCCATCCTCATTTAATTTCTTGTAATTTGCTTCTGGTAGTTTTGATAAAATGTGGCCAAACATGAAAACCCTCCAGATCTTTCAGAACTACTCTGTTCTTTGATGTTGAAAACAAAACCAGAAACAATCTAAGGCAGACATTGATCAGTTCTAATCTCTTAATGTGTCCTGGGCAGTAAACTAACGGCTGCCATTGTAGCCACTAGATCTAGAGGATCACAATGGAAGTTTCCTGGAATTCTTGAGGACATGATGGATCTGCTTGGATAGTCTAGTCTTCACTGGTGTATTTTCGTCTCCTTCTTATGGGGTTTCTCCCTAAGAAAATTTATATAAACAATGTCCCTAGCTCTTATGCCCCTCACTCCTTTCCAAATTTCTAGTCTACTGGTGCCCAGGAGTGAAATCTATTTTAGAAAATACTCTAATTCGATAACTTGTGCTTGGAAGTGTCTGTCCCTTTATTATGTGTTCTTCATGCTCTTCCTGGGGAGTGGAATGGCATCCTTTGGAGGTGGCTGGCATTGGGGTGAATGAAGCAGGACTAAAGAAAGGGGGAGGTCATCTCCTCTTTCATTAGTATTATACCTGGTTCGGGTTCCACAATTTAAAAGAGAGTCTTCTAGTCCTTGGAACTAGCTCAGAAGAGCTTCTAGATGACTGAATAATAATAAAATCAAATCTATGAGCAAAAGGATAATTGGATAAGAGCCACTTGATATTGGAGTTGAAAAGCTTGGAGGTTGATCACAGAGGTCAACCATCAGCGATTCACCTTGCCAGCTGAGAGGAAACAGACCAAGCCCAGGGACTAGTGTAGGCTGCAGCATGAAGGGTATTGAGTGAGCCAGGAAGTTGTCCCTCATTATGCAAAAAAAAAACACCTTAGAAATTATACAGGTAAGCTCTGAAAGGTGGGGCAGCCCAACAGTCCTTTAATTTTTAGTCTTTGTTTTGTTTTGAGGCTCAGATTATCATATTCCTTAATTTGTGGTACACACAAGACCCTTCTTAGGTTTTACTTCTCATTCTATTTCTTCTGCTCTCCCACTCACCCTTTATCTTGCTCTCTCTCTTAACAACATATTCTTAAGATCTTCTTATGTTGCCAATTATATTTCAAATATTTCTAATACATTGTTTCTAACTGCTTTTTATTGGTTTCCTATTTCTATGCACTCTTTGCTTATTGAATTCTGTAGTATTGGACATTTCTGCTGCTTCCAGTTCTCACAAATGATGCCATAATGAATATACTCATATATATTGTTGAGCACCCGTTAGATCTGGTTGATGGGAAAAAGGGGAAGGGAAAGGGGTGGGCTAGGTGGCTCATGTTTTCTCTAAGCAATGAGGAATATTGAATTGTCCATGAGAAATGGAGACACATGATATCAAAAGTCCTAGCCTAACATTTCAAACATTTAGAAGTTCTTCTGAGTTCCTTAGTACTTTACTAAGACTTGAATAAGAGACTGAAATAATATTCTGGAACGTAAAGAGTGTGACCTTCAGTGATCTTCCCTTCTCAACGTCATTTCCTTCAACTTGAGCTGGTCGGTTCTGGAAGCATTTCAATTCTCCATATTGGCCATTGATTACCTAGACAAAGCAAATGAAATGTTCTAAGAAATCTTATTAGTCACAGGGGTTGAGTGAAGTTTCTAAAATGTTTTGCTATTTTAATGTTTGCAAAACCTGATGACATTCAGTTGCCCAACATTAGATCCCGAGTCACCAAGAAAGGGATAGGAACCTTAATAGGGATACCTTGTATTTATATAGTGTTTATAATTTATAGTGCTATTCATAAACATAATCCATCTTATCAAATCCTGCAACAACCCTGTGAGATAGTGGGGGTAGGATTACTGTAGCAGGTGGGGTAGCTTCAATGGTAGATGAAGAAATGGAGGTTCAAAGCAATTAAGTTGTCCAAGGTCACTTGGAGATTTAAGTGACATCGCTAGAAGCAAAGTGAGGGTCTTCGGAGGCTCCATCCAGCCTTTCTTTTCTTTTCTTTTTTAAGACTTTTTTGAGAGAGAGAGAGAGAGAGAGAGAGTGCACCAGCGAAAGAGCATGAGTCAGGGGGAGGGGCAGAAGCAGACTCCCCGGCTGAGCGGGGAGCCCTCCGAGGGGCTGGATCCCAGGACCCTGGGATCATGCCCTGAGCCAAAGGCACACGCTTAACTGACTGAGCCACCCAGGCGGCCCCCCATCCAGCCTTTCTGCAACACCTCTCTAATGCTCAGAGAAACGACCTACAGTAAGTTCAGAGTTATCCCCTGAGCTGGACTTTGTAAAGTATCTGTCCTTTTCAATTATTGTGTGATGTTAATAAGAAGGCTCAAGCTGCACACCATTAGTTGAACACCTGTTCATAAAAATAACTGGGTAAAAAAATAAGGCCCATATAACTGAGTCTCATGGCAACAAGCATCATGCCTGGTTGGACTTTGGCATAATTTGGAGTCCTACAAAGTACCAGGTGCTTGTCATTTTATTCATTACCTAATTACAGTCATAAAATAAGAATGGTGGCTGGACCATAAAAAGTAATAATTGATTCAAGTATATTTGTGTAGAGATAATTCCATTCTTCAAAGAGTCTTTTCTAGACATTTCAAAATGCACTAACAGCCTGAGGAGGTCATGCCTGCTTGCATTAGGTTACAACGGCCTACAAACAGGCAGCCTAACCATCTACCCGTCACACATGCACAGTACCAGGGAAGTCCCTAACTCCTGTTCCGTACTGTGTAATTAGGGCTCAGGCAAAAATATCATAGAACCCACTATACAGTTTTTAAAAAATAAATCCTGATGAAATGTCCCCAGAATGACAAATGAACAGCCTTTTTCAGAGCCAGGCACTGAGAATACGAACCTCTTCAGAAAAAAACTCTAATTTTTTTTTTACATCCTTTTAAAGTGAGTAAATGGCTACAGAGCACTATGACAATTCTACTTGACTCTC